GGGCACCATGCTGAAGGTGTATTCACACAGTGCTGCTTGACGTCTTGCCCCTGGATGGGCTACTTGTAGAAGTCTTCATGGAACAATTTTTTGGAAAGTATTTAAATGAAAAACTCAAGTCATCTAGGGCAAGGCAATGTTGCATTCTAAAAAAAGTAGGTATAATCAGCTTCCTTAGGTGTGAGACCTTGTGTCTTTTTTTTTTGCCTTTTGAACTCCATTGTTTTTACATCAGCATTTAGTGCAGCACTGAAAAACTGATGGAAGAACCTAATGATTAAAGAACATTGCTTTTCAGCAAGGCTGCCGTCCTCTAGGCAGACAATTCAGGTTTTTACTTGGCGTTTTTGCTATTTGGGAAATCTCAAAGCAGGGAGTTAAGGAATCATTGCTCAGCCATCCATTTTAATTTTATTTCTCAGTCCACATCTGTAGCAGGTTATTCAAAGAGAAATAATATGTTTTAAGGAGGTAACTTCCCATTCAGTGGTCAATAGAAAACTAAGTGATAAAATCAATCTGATCATCAGTTTATGCATTAAGTACTACCAGTGGCACTTTCAATAGTTGCTGAAGCAAAGGAGTGAATGGATTATAGGGATTAAACTTCCTTCATATGCCTAGAGGGGAACAAGTCATGAAAATGGAAGGCTTATTTGGTATGAGACAGCACAAAAGACTTGGAAGACAAAAAAATTAATATGTATTATTTCTAAATTGTTTCTTGCACATTTTTTCTGTAATGTGGGATTTGAGCCACGGATTCAATCTTGAGGCTTACAGGGCAGAAGTGTGACCATAAAAGTGATTGTATGAATATGGAATGAAACATGCCTGGTTGTTATCTAACCCAGATTCCTGAAAAATATTTCTCTCTTCCATCATGAGTCTGATTCTTTAACGAAAATAATTCCTATACACAGCAGGTTCTTCAGGTTCTTTCTCTTGTTCTTTTCTTGACCTTTTTGAGTTGGAAGAAAGTCATGGACTTTCCCATTGAAATGGTGGGAACACAGTGTTAGGTCTTCAGCAAAGTAAGATTTTCTGACCTGCTTTGCCTGTGTCATTCTCCAAGGCTTTCCACTGCAAAAAGAGGCACTTCCACTAGTGTCACCAATTTCTCATCCTCTTGTGCTGCATTATGCCTCTTGAAATAGTACTGGTTGGAGGAGAAAATTCATGGAAGTGAGAAGCATTCATGTGACAAGGTTGATAATGATATTTGTGTGATTCAATAACAAAAGCAAAACAGCTAATATTTTAATATTAAACAAAAATTAGATGTACTAAGAGTAGGGCAAGTCCATTCTTTGGCTGGTTCTGTGTAAACAAGTCTGGGCAGAATATGTACATATGTATACTCACATGTATATATACATAGAAGCCTGATTTGCTGTGCATGCTGGCTAATGAGCAAAAGTAATAGAGGATCAATATATAGAAGAACTGGAAACTTAGACACTGAACAAAATCAAAGTACGCTCAAGCTTGAATTGGTAGCAGTAGACTGGGAAAGGGATGGTTCAAGGCAGACTGCAGCAGCTTTTTTTGGGTTGTGGTTTTTTATTGTTGATGTTTGTTTGTTTTCAATTATTATTTGTAGGAATGCTTTGGAGCCAGGTCATTGCTGCTGTAAATCTTCAGATTTCCATTGATGTCTCCAGAGGGATAGTGTTTTACATCCCCTGAACAGATGGTGTTCTTGGTGGAAACATTATTGTGGTGTCTTTGGTCTTACATTGTTTTTAAACAACGGTGGTTTTGAAATGCTAACTTTAATGGTTAAAACTAATGGTAGGACTATTTAGGAAGTCTAAATAAGCTGGACAGTCTAATAAAGCTGGACATTTTAAAGAAATATGGAGAATTTGAAGAAAAAAATATGGACACATAATTGGGTGTTAAAGATAAATAGAAAACAGGTGGGTTTTTTTGCTATCAACCTCTGCCCCTGGTGGGGTCCTTATTGAACTTTCTGCCATCCCATTTCCTCTAGGAGTGATACACTGTGCTTAACAGGCATTGTTCAAAACTTAATTCATGTTTGTGAAATACTGGGAGTGGCCAAGACAAAGTGTTCTGCAAGTACCAGGTGCACCAGCACTGTCTGACAAGTGGATCTTTAATGAGAGACTTGAGGATGATGGATTTTTTTAAAAAGGATATGATGATGGAAGAGGTAAATTGTTATGTGAAAGATAGGAAATGTCACATGATTTCTGTCTCTTGGGTATGTACCAGCTTGTGCTAGGTAGTCTCTTTCAGAGATGTTTTGGAGCAGGGTGGAGGGAGAGCTATAGACACAATCTCACATTCAATACACTCCACAAAAGGATGCTGTGAAAGAGGGTTGAGTGTATATAATACAGTGCAGTGGATGAATAATGGGTTATAGATGAGGAGACAGAGGTTTATTAACAAATGTAGTCTGTCATCTGCATCTGAAAGTGAATGGATGATGCAAGGTGAGACTGAGTGTTGGCAGTGGTGTGAGGGACATGCATTCCTGAGCTTTGTTCATTTTATGTGGACAAGTATCTGTATCACTTATCTACAGTTACAAAACTAGGTAGAAGAGACATCAAGGATTAAACAATGAGCACACAGTATTTCATTTCTACAGATGATATTTTCAGCTCAAAATCAATATATTTCAGTGGACTGTAGGATTGAAGAAGGTTAATCTTCTGTTGCCGTGGCCATATTATGTCTCTCCAGTAAACACATGCTGCACTTGGATTTGCAGCATGCACAACTATAAGAATTTTTTTTTAGTAGTACTTGATTTCCAGTGTTGCTGGTGATTAAAAAAAAAAAACCACTTTATATGCCTGTCCTACTCAAGACTTTCCTTAGTTTGCATGATGAGAGGATCTGGAGCTCCCCATTGTAATCACTTCTGAAAACTCTAAATGGGGAATGGCAATAAAAAGAGCAATTTTGAGATTTTACTGGAGACTCACCTGTTAATCCACAGTAGGTAAAAGTGAAAAAACCCTGTTCAAAATACTAGAAGTTTATAGTGCCATTTGTCTTGTTTTCTGTTTGTAAGGGAAGCTGAACAGACCTTCTCATAAAGAGCTGTGTACATCTGCTTGGCATGCTAAATTTACAATCTATAGACTCAACTAGTTAATACGCCAACTACTGTCTGGCTTTAGGTTCTGTTTATCTTCCATTGCTACATTTGTCTGGAGTGTTTTGTTGTTGAGAAATTTTGGACTTTATTCCCTAAAGCAGAAGGGCAGGTTGCTGATGCCAAAATTTATTTAAGAAACAAGGAGTGTATAGCTGCTACACAGTGTGGTAACCTAAAATGCCTGAATGGCTCAATTTCAAAGCTAAGACTTGTGTTTCAAAGCTGGGTTGTGTTTGTAGGTCCCTGTCCTTCTCACATAAACTATAGTCAAAAGTGTGCAATTGCAGGATGACTGACACAGCAATCAAAATCTGTGCCTACTTGCTTGTTTATTATGGCACTTTATGTTACCAGTTCCATCCCTTTCTCTCAACCAACTGCTCTCTGGCTCATTTGCTCCTGTAAGCTCTGCAAAGCAGGGACAATCAGCTCTTCTGTGGTTGTTCAGTGCCTGGTGCCCTTTCTCACAAGTGCTGAGGCGCCCTGTGTTAGGCCCATGGGAGTGCTGTAGGGCTGACAGCGAGAGCCCCAGACTTGGGCTGCTGCTGGCAAGGCCCAAGTCTGAAACATGGTTCCCCAAGCACCTGCTTGGAGGGAAGAGGGTTACATAAATACCTGTTTTTAGAGTTGCCCAAATACATGGCTTTAACACGTGCTTAAGATTTATGCACAAGATGGCACTGAGAATGTCTGCCCCAGCCCCTCCAGTCCCACTGGCTTTCCCTCACATCATTGCAGATGATGGAAAACCAGTTATTAGGAAAAAATGTTTTACTGAGGGTAGTGAGGCGGTGGAACGGGTTGCCCAGAGAAGTTGTGGATGCCCCATCCCTGTGAGTTTTCAAGGCCAGTTTGGATGGGGATCTGAGCAACCTGGTCTGGTGAAGGGTGTCCATGCCCACAGAAGGGAGGGTTGGAACTAGATGATCTTTAAGGTCCCTTCCAGCCCAAACCATTCTGTAGTTCTCTGATAAGATGATTGATTCTATGATTCTGTGTGCTGTGCAACAGCTTCAACAAGATCACCTCACCCAGCACACATCTGTACCATGCTGTTAAAACACTTTGCTGCCCTTTCAGGCAGAAGAGGGAAAACTGAGTTCCTGGGTGAGTGCTAAATAGCATGTGGACTTGGCGGGGTACGATGACCCTGGCAAGAAGATGGAGTGGGTGCCTAAGGAAAGGCTGAGGGTTGAGAATTCCACACAAGGTATCTTGCCTTTCCCCAGCGTTAGGATCAACTCAGCAGTGGACGAGGTGTCTTGAGAGATTTGTTGGCATGTCTAACTGATTCTTGTAGACATCTTCATTTAACAGGATGGATAATGAAGATTATGTTCTAAGGTATTCTACTTTTTGCCTTCAGTGTGCGCTGGGGCAGGGTGTTGTAATTTGAGGCTGTGGATTTAGGCAAAGACATGCTGCAGTGCTCAGCACCACAAGAGCCAGGCCCTTTTTTGAATCTGGCCTCACCTCAGTAAGTGTGAGTAATGATAACAGAGGCATGAGAGCAGAATGACTGTACAGAAGGGAGAGCTGCTCTTGACTTGCTAGAGTGAAAGACATATTTGTAAAGGGATAAAATTAGTGCTGGGTACAAGAATGCCATTTAATGAAACAAATGACTACACTTCTTCTCAGTGGCACGAAAAACACGTGACACATCCCAGATAACCAGCAGTCCCCCATCCTGCTCTAAGGGTTGCTGCAGAGCTTTGTCTCCTTTTGATGTATTCCTCTCTGTAGTTCTACATCCTTATTTTTTGTTCATTATTGTTGCATTTTTTTACTCATGCATGTCTTTACTCCTTTAGCTTTCCTGAATATTTCTCTTTTGTCTCTCTTGTGATCTGCCATACAGCTTGGCCACCTTCCATGTGATGGAGCAATGTAGCTGACTTGTGGGTTGACTTAGGCTTGCATCACCATCCTGACCAGGTTGCATCTGCAGTCATCTGGAACTGACTACATGCCTGAACTGATAAAAAATGCTGTGGAAATATGAATCTCTGGGGCCTTTGCAAGGTATCTTCATATATGTGTGTGTATGCATGTTGATGTGTGAGTACATTCAAAATGCCTGTCTGTTCCATCAGCTCAGCTGACTGAGTGCTCCTTTGGGATTTGCTGCTGCTTATGGCAAAAGGGAACAGACCTGCAAAGCTCAGGGGAATACTGGGATTGACCCTGAAAAGGGGGATATGCCTGTTGCCTAGGAATGTGTGATACCCATAAGCAAGAGATCCAAAACCCCTCACTTGACCTTTGTATAGTTCTTTCCCTTCCAGTGAGTCCCTTTCCCTGCCTGTGACTCATCTTCTTCTAAATGTAGACTGTAAGCTTCTCAGAGGACTGCCTTTCTCTCTGAACAGAGTAGCATAAAAATAGCAACACTGTTGAATAACTAGTATTATTTTTTAAACAAAAAAACCTAAGGACTGCCTTGCTGTATCTGTGCTTCTCTGTCAACAGATTCATCAGTTCCCTCAACAGAACAGTGGGGCAGGTTCTGTCCTGACCCACGACAAGAAGGCTGTTCAGAGAAGAGGTCTCAGGAGCAGCACAACTGCAGTGCAGTGGGGAGTAGATGTTATAATAAAAGATGGGCAGACTCTGACAAAGGCCAACACATCTTCCATGGCACCCATGTACTTACTTCGCTGTTTCTGACCGATTTGTAATTGGCAGCATCCCCTTAGTAACTGCAGTGTGGCTTATGTGCATGTCCAATAGGAAGCTGCCTGCTCTCTTCAGCAGGTTATTCAACACCCATCTCCTTTTCTCCAGCCTCTACATACACTGTTCAGCTGCCCAGTCCACTTCTGTTCTCAACTCTTGGTGACACTGCAGCTCTTGTGTTGTCTTTGACTTGTAGTAGATCTCTTATTCTGGGCAAACTGGTACCTTTTCTCTTTCCAGATGCTTGTGCCATATCCTGTCTCTTTATTGCCTGGTCCTCTGGAGGACAAAAGAGTGAGAATCAGCAGTGTGTCATTTATCCTCCAAACAGTTTGAGAACTGTTTTGACAGCCAGTGGAAGAAAATAGTGTGATGTGGTCACAGCAAGCATGTGTTCTTTCTAACAATTTACAATTGCACTATGATCCCATTGAGAGTGATACTCGAACCTCCCTCTGATTACCTGTTCTTTTCTCTTGCTGTAACAACATTGTTTCTTTCCAACACAGGAGCATTTATGTAGAAATGCCAAGATTCTCCACACAGATTACAGTAGGTTTACAAATTAAGGAAAAACTGGTATGGAACAAGAGGAAAGAATCCCAGCATTTTGCACTTACCTGCAATCAAAATCCTGTCTTTGGAGGGTGTTATGTCAAATATACACTCGGTGAGGCCTATGAGGATTTTCCTTGTGTAATGGCAAGTGTTAGCCCTAGCATATCACACTATTCTAAAAATAGCGTCCAGTAAACAACAGGTGGCCTCTCTTGGAAAAAAATCAGGAAAAAAGTTGGTGAGACCTGGATCCTCTGCAGTGTCACTTTCACAATTGAGTGACTGACAAATAAAAGCAAAGAAAAAAACCCAGTGGGCTAAATCACCATGAGGATGGATTCCCCCTGTTGTGGAATTGAACAAAATCCAGCAACGTTCCCTTCTATTAGGTCTGATGTAAGTGCTGTATGATAAAGAGTAATTTCTAAAAGTCAGCTGTAAACCTAGAGGTCAGCCAATAAGACAGGGACTTGACACATTTTTCATTGTGAAGTGTATGATAGTTTCATGCCTTTAATCAACGTCACTGCAGACTGTATATTGTTGAATCCAATGGAATTGGAATCCTGCTATGAATTTAATTGTTTTCCACATGTAGAACAGAAGCCTTTGATTTCTGTTAGTTATGTATCTGCGTGAAAAGCTATTTTGTGTGTATATATATTTAATAACAGGAAATGTAACAAATATTTATTTTTATTAAACTAATAAAAGGGATAAACCTATCAAAGCATGTTTTCATTTAATTTCTTTTCCCTTAGCATGAAACATGAAAGGTCATTAAGTTCAACTTCATGTATCTCAAGACACACAGTTCTTTCTATGAGATAACTGACGTCATACAAAAGCATCTTGTTTCTAAATGAGAACTTTGAGGTTGCAATAGGCCTTGTAACTGCAATCAACCATGGTTGGGTTGAGGCCTCAAGGTGCAACACTCGAGGTACTACTTACCTGTTGCAATTAGGGTGGCACCTTGCATGAGATCTTTCCAAACTCTTGCAAATGTAATCCTTGCATTGAGGAGCTCATGGTTTATGAACAACAAGCAGCAAAAGGTTAGGAAACGTGGAATAGGACAAGGAGAGAGAAATTGTGGAGCTCTTGTAAATCCATTCAGTTCATAGTAAGCAGTCTGCAGGAGTGGGATCTCTAAAGGGTAGCCAGATCTGTAGCATGTTGGGGTTTGGCAGATATGTAGCGTGTTGGTTTTCCACCTCCTAGAGGAGAACATGGTGTGTGGAAAGTCATGCAAAGGAGAGGGTGAGGGGAACTGGCACATGGCTGCAGCCTGGCAGCAGTGCTTTAGCAGAGGCAAGAGTGGCATGGGAAGCTGGAGGTTCCTGAAAGGTTTGTTTTCTAGAAAAAGATTTTGACACTGAGGAGTGTCAAAGGAGGCTCCCTTTAAAAACAGTGGTTCCCTCCACCTCCACGGGACTTCTCTTGCATTTTGGTTGACCCACACATTGCACCAAGACACCACTGATTTTCCTTCTTCCTCAGCCACTCCCGCCCTCCAGCCTGTTCAGGCACTACATCTCAACCATGAGCTATTTCAGGACTTCAGCCTCCCACATCTCCCCTGTCCCACCTCCTTCCCGCCCCAGGCTCCCTCCTGGAAGGGCGGGATAAACCCGGGGCCGTACGCGCTGTACGGGTGGCATAGCCCCAGGGGGTGGCTGGACTGGGACAGAAGGCAGCGCAGCTTGGCGCTCTTCTCTGCCACCATGGAAAGGGCCACCGAGAGTGTGCGCGTGTGCGTGTCATTTCAGAGGTGTCTCCTACACTTCCTCCAAGTCCAGGCGTTCCAGACCCATCACGTGTGGGGCTGTGGGAGCGAGGTCGTGTCAAACGGGCAGGTGAAGGACGGCGGGGAAGAGCAAGTCCAGGCGTAGTGCAGCAAGTGGGGAAATATGTCAGGAGGCCTCCGCTGCCCCTGGATCTTGCCGGGGGAGGCAGATCGAGGCCAGTCAGAGGGAGAGCGCTGCCAGCCCCGCGTCGCGTGGGCAGCCGTGGCGGCCAGGCCAGCCGCGCCTTCCCCCGTGCCGTGTTCCCCGCGCCCCCCCGGCCCTGCCGTGTCGATTCCATCGCGGGGCCGCTCCGGTGGCGGGCGCAGTGCAGGGCGGGGGGAGAGGAACGCAGGGACACATTCGGGTGCCGGGCGGAGCCTGAGCATTTTATGAATGGGCTCATATGACGTCAGTGAGGGCGGGAAGAGAGCACCCGTCCTCCACCAATCCTGCCAGGCCTCCGCGCTGCGGGGCCAATCGAAGCGCGGTCTCCAGGTGACGGCCATCCTCGCCGGCCAATGGAGGCAGGAGAGCGGTGGCGACCACGTGGGGCGCAGGCCGCAAGTAGTACGGGGGTGTGTGGCCGGGCGGCCTCGGGGCGGGCGGGCCCGGCCGCGTTGCCGGGTTACCCGGTGCCTGAGCGGCCCCTCCGCCAATCGCGGCGGGGCGGGGGCGGGCGCCGTGACGGCTGCGGGGCGGCGGTGGCCGGGAGGGCTCAGTCCGGCCGCGACAGCCTCCGCAGCATGGTGGTTCCCGCCGCGCTCCCGGCCGCCGGCCTTCTCTACTGGGTGGGCGCGCTGGGCGCCCTGTACGCGGCGGCGCTGGCCTCGTACCGCCTTCTGGCCGGCCTCCGCGTCTGGGTGCTGGGCAGCGGCGCCGCCGCCGTGGGGCCGGCGCTGGGCGCCTGGGCAGGTGAGTGCGCGTCCCGGCCGCCCCCGCCGCGGCTCCTTCCCCTCCGTCCCCCCGGACCGGGGCAGGGCCCCGCGGGGCAGCGCGGCGGCGGCCTCGGCCCGGTGGGGAGGGAGCGCGGGGCGCTTCTCGTGGTGAGCGCGGATGGCGGGCACCGGCCTCGAGAGAAGCGGCGGAGCGCCCGGGGGGCGGCAGCGGGTCCCGGGGCGGGTCGGTCTGGGGCAGCGGCCGAGGGGCCGGCGGGTGCCGCCGCCCGGCCGGGCGCGCTGCCGCGGAGCCGGTCTCAGGCTCCCCGTGAAATCTGCGGGTGCTGAGAGAAGCTCCAGTTGTTGGGATTTTGCGCGCGGGCGGGCGGGCGGGCACGGCGTGTTTGAACTTGCTCCCGGCCGGGGACGCAGCGCGGTCCCGGGTCCGCGCGGCTGGTCCCAGTCGCGGTCCCGGTCCGCATTCCCGGCGCGCGCCGCCCCCTCCGCGCCGGCCTCGCGCCTCATCGCTGACGTCACGCCCGCCCCGTCCCCGCCGCCCCCGGAGCAGCGGCGGCTCCCGGTGCAGCGGGAGCGGGAACAGCCAACCCCGTGCCCGGCCGCGGCGGCACCGGGAGCAGCAGCGCTGGGCCGCGGCCCATGCCCGGGCGGGCGGGGGCAGCCGCGGCTGCCCCGGGAGAAGCGCCAGGGCGGAGGGCGAGGGAACAACCGTGCCGGGAGCGGCGGGCGAACAGCGCGAAACTTGTGCCAGCCCCGCCTGCTCCAGCAGCCCGTCCGCTTCGCGGTGCCGGGCTGCGTCCAAGGAAGGGCTGAAGCTGAGTGGCCGCTCCTTTGTAAGGGGTGACAGTAGCGGTGGCCGGGAGGGGGTGTCGACAGCGTTTAACTGATATCCCAGAAATACAGGAGCGCAGGGGAAGTACTGCAGAGGCTGGTGCCAGGGGATCACCAGTGCTACGCTGCACTAACTTTTCTCAGTTCTTCGACTCCTGGTCACAGGAGGCACAGTTTTTTCCATCTGAGTCTGACATTGTCACTGCGGCTTTGCAGTTAAGATGAGGCTTTAGAAAGGGCTTCTCTGCCGGTGTAAAGATCAGGCCAAGAGAGTTTTCAGTTCCATTCCTCCCAAAGGCAGTGGGAAGGACGAGTCCTAAGCCTGATTGGGAATTGATAAGGTGGGCCATAAGAAGAATTGCAAACTGTAAGAGCTGTGAGTTTAAGATGAGATGATAGTTTAAAAGGCTGCACAAGGTATTTCCTTTCCTCAAGGGGAGTAGGAGGACATCAAGTGCTCAGATGCTGCAGCTGCTTCCAGGTGGCAGACCTGTAGGTGCAGCAGCCCCGCAACAAGCTGGTAGGTTGCTGGGCTAATGATGGTACTTCCCGATAATCTCTGCTTCAGCCAACACAGAACTCGTATGTGAACACATGGTCGGGCAGTCGAATTTCAGCTTGTATGAGACACCAGTAAAGCAGTAATGCTACTGGCAGCACACATAATGCCAGAGCATGTCATGAGTCCTGCGTGCACAGGTTTGAAATGCAGCAGCAGTGCCTTGGACAAGCTGTAGCTTTACATACAAATGAATAAGGCCCATGTCTTCCTCCCAACTAGAGAAATGGAATGCCTGTTAAAGATATGGTTGGCACAGGAGACCCAAACCCTCTTTGACTTTCTGATGTTAGTTTTAAATATATTACTTACTGCATTATCAGTTGCCTGCTGACTTGTGGTGCATCACAGAAGTCTTGGTGGCCACTTTAGCTTGTTTTGCATTGTCACACATGTGGAAGTTTGCAGTGCTTGAGCTAAATGCCAGCTTATTAGCTGGAACCACAAACTGTAGACAGCAGATCTTCCCACAGTCACATCCTCAGATATTCAGAGAACTGCAATGCACATGTCCTCCGTCACTGTTTTGTACAAGTGCAGGCAGCAGCAGGCCATTGTATGTGGCCAGTGGCTACTCAGAAATTATTCTTTCTCTTTGCCATGGTCATGATCTTCAAGACATGGAGGAAGAGGAGCATTGGCAGGACAGCTAAATTCCCTGTTTGTTGCTCTGCTCTGAAGTGGAAGCACCACTGCTGTGGTGTCAAGGAGGATGGAGAAATAGGGTGATGGTGCCTGCTGATTTGGACTTGAGCTGTCACTGTGGCTGACAACGTTTGGCCATTGTGAGCTAGCTGTTGTGTATCCTCTGTGTGCAGCTTATGCAGGCGAGATGCTGCTTTATTGGGACAGCTGCTGTAATCTCTAGCTGAAATGAGGAGAGGTTGTTGTAATCTGAATAAGCACTGGGGTGGTTTGCCCTGAAGTGCATTGTGGCACCAGCAATAGACTGGGCAGGTTGTTTTCTCTCCTAAAAAGGAGCATAAGGCACAGCTTGCAGATATGTTGGGTCACCTTGAGAATCAGCGAATTACTAAGTCATACTGTAGGAAGAAGTGCATTTCCTGTTTTTCTGGTATTTTAAAAACTAGTGGGTTTGATGCTAATTGGCTGCTGTAGTTACTGTTATGTTCTTTCTACTGCAGGACTCGAAAGCAACTTTACAACAATTCTGAAACACTTACAAACACTTTTGTAAGGGCCTCTTACCGCCCTTTACCTCTTCTGCATGTCTGAAACTGACTTGGAAATTCTTTCTTTGTTTTCTTAGAATTTTTTGGGATGCCTAATTTTCTGGTATTTAGAAGGAGGGGATTTGAGGAGGAGGAACAACTGGATGAACCAGTAATGTACTCTGAGAAAATCAGGTTTGTAGTACTTGACATAGCAGCTCTTTAGACCAAAAGTTAATTTTTTTAAAGTTGCACTTCTGTGTGAAGGTCTGTAAGCAGCTTTTCTGGTTTACCCTCTGCATAACTTGCATCTGGCGTGATTTTTGGCTACTGTACAGTGAATGGACGTTGGGTGGATGTTATTTCAATGTGATATTTCTGGGTGCATCTTGAGCGAGTATGCAATGAAAACTTGTGGGTTCAATGCTCTGCCTTTAATGTGCCTCATAAATTGGTAGCAGAAGATAACAGCTCCCTTAA